CTAACAAACTGTAGGGTGACAAGATAAATCCATGAATGGTATCCCCTACAAAGACCACGTATATACATCCCCAAAAGATCAACTCATTTATCACTTAACTTGCACTCCACAATTTATCAAGTACCTAATTATGTACAAAACACCGTCCTGTTTTAATGATTTACATGTTTTCATTTGCTACATACACTAGAACCAGCTGACTGCCACTTTTGTTTCTAAAGGTGAACATTCATTCATTAGACCATTCATTCCTTCTAGCACAAAATGCATTTTCCCCACAGCCCTCCAAGGGGCCTCTGAAGCTTTCTCCCGTCTCAACTGAGAAATGTAAATAATTATTTTCTTTTCCTAAAATTACTTCTATAACATCTGTATTCTGCTCAAGTATATAGTTTTCCATTAGAAACATGAGAGTAAATCCTTTAGCAAAAATTCTTGGGTATCAACTGGTCTTCGTTCCCTGGCACGTGGCTCTTAAAACCTCTAGAACTCCAAAGTAAATACAGGCATACCTAATTTTATTATCCTTTGTTTTACTGTGCTATGAAGATAGTGCATTTTTATAAACTGAAGGTCTGTAAGAACTCTACAGCCAGAAAGTCTGGTGGCACCATTATTCCTATAGTATGTCCTCAATTAGTGTCTGTGTCACATTGGTACTTCTCACAGTATTTCAAACTTTCTCATTATTATTTTATCTATTATGGTGACCTATGATCAGTGAACTTTGTGATTACTATTGTAATTGTTTTGTGGCACACCAAATTGTGCCCATAAGACAGCAAATTTAACTTATTAATGCTGTATGTGTTCAGATTGCTCCACTAACCAACAATACCTCATCTCTCTTCTCCTCAGGTCTCCCTATTCCTGAGACACGACAACATTGAAATTAGTATACTTAATAACCCTATAATGGCTTGTAAGAGTTCAAGTGAAAGGAAAAGTCACTTGTCTCCTACTTTAAAATCAAAAGTGAGGAGTGATTAAATTTATTGTAGAAGGCACGTAAAGATAGGCCTAAAGCTAGGCCTCTTGTGCCAAACACTAAGCCACGCTGTGAATGCAAAGGAAACATTCTTGAAGGAAATTACAAGTGCTACTCCAGTGAACACATAAATGATAAGAAAGCAAAAACAGGCTTATTGTGGAGGTGGAAAAGTTTTACTGGTTTGGATAAATGATCGAACCAGGTACAACATTCTCTTAAGCCAAAGTCTAATCCAGAACACGGTCCTAACTTTCTTTAATTCTGTGGAGGCTGAGAGAGGTAAGAAAGCTGCCAAGGAAAAGTTGGAAGCTAGCAGCGGGTCAGTTCTTGATGTTTAAGGAAAGAAGCTCCCTCCAGAACATAAAAGGTAAGATGAAGCAGCAAGTGCTAATGCAGAAGATGCAGTGAGTTTCCTAGAAGATTTACTAAGATCAGTGATACAGGTAGCTATGTTAAGTAACAGATCTTCAAAGTGATAAACATACTATTAAGGACTTTCATTGCTAGAGGGAAGTCAATGCCTGGTTTCAAAGCTTCCAAGCACAAGCTGATTCTCCTGTGTTTGGGGCTAATGCAAATGGTAACTTTTGCACCATGAAAAGGTGAAACCAATGCTCCTTTACTATTCTGAAAATCCTTAAATAATTACACTAAACCAGCCAGGCACAATGGTCATATACCTACAGTCCCAGCTACTCAGGAAGCTGAGGCAGGAGGATGGCTTGAGCCCAGAGCTTTGAGGCTGTCGTAAGCAATAATCTCCGTACTCCAGCCTGGGCAACAGAGCAAAACTCTGTCTTAAAAGAAAATGGGGCAAGAGGGATGAGAGAGGGAAGGGAAAAACAAAAGATAAATTATAACAATAAAATAATCATACTATACCTACTGTGGAAGTAATGGAACTAAATGGAACACCATCACCTGGATGATAGCACATCTGTTTACAGCATGGCTTACGGAATATTTTAAGCTTATTGTTGAAACCTACTATTGGGGGGGGGGGGCGGAATTCCTTTGAGAAGATTACTGCTCATGAACAAGGCACCAAAAATCTCTGAAGAAAATGTATAGGGAGATGAATGATGTTCTCATGTCTGCTAACACAGCATTTACTTTGCAGCCCATGGATCAAGAAGTAATTTTGACTTTCAAGTCTTTTTATCTGAGAAATGCATTTCTTAAGGCTACAGTTGCCACAGATAGTGATTCCTTTGATAGAGTTGGGCAAAGTAAACTAAAAATCTTTCAGATAGAAATTAACATTCTAGATGCCTTTAAGAACAGTTGTGATTCATGGGGGGAGGTCTAAATATAAACAAAAGCTTCATTCCAACAACCCTCATAGATGACATGAAGGAGTACCAAACTGGAGTGAAGGAAATAACTACAGATGTAGAAGAAATAGCAAGAGAACTAATTAGAAGTGGAGCCTGAAGCTGTGTCTGAACTGCTCAAATCTCATGGGAGTGCTATTTGAAGGGGGTGAATCAGGAAAGACACTGTCAACTGTCTTCCTTAGAAGTGAAGTAACAGGCGGCGCCTGTAGCTCAGTGGGTAGGGCAATGGTCACATACACCAAGACTGGTGGGTTCGAACCTGGCCCAGGCCAGCTAAAACAATGACAACTGCAACAACAAAAACAAAAAATAGCCAAGCATTGTGGCAGGCGCCTGTAGTCCCAGAGACTCAGGAGGCTGAGGCAAGAGAATCCCTTAAGCCCAAGACTCTGAGGTTGCTGTGAGCTGTGATGCCACAGCTCTCTACCAAGGGTAACAAAGTAAGGCTCTGTCTCCAAAAAAAAAAGGTAGTGAAATAATGGACAATAACACAGTCTGTCTCAAAATTTTCAGTGACCCACATACTGTTCTTACAATATGTATAATCTACAACCTTTTTTAATTTTAGTATATAACAGTGAAACTGAAGAACAAATAAAATGCATGAACTGTTTCTACTTGTGGTTATGAATAAAACAGTCAAGACAGAATGTGAAAGCATCAATCACTGGAGAAATAAAATAGAAAAGCTACAATATAGAATGTTGGAAGGTCACAAGACAAGAAATTACCACCACTACCAAAGCAGAAAACAATTAGAGTATCTCTTCATGGTGACACCTAAGTCTAAAAATGTACTACCTAACCTACAGTGTTCAGATAAATTAAGAATCATTAACATTAAATAAATGATCATTTACTACGGGTCTAACACTGTTCTAAGTGCTGGTGATCTCATTTAACCCTCACAACCACTGTACGATGGAAATGACATTAATGCTACCATTTTATAGGGCACATCATGATTAAGTAATTTGTCCCTAGTCACAAACATTTCGTAGCAGAGCCAAGATTCAAACCTAAACAATCTGGTTGCAGAGCTCATTCTTAACCAATCTCTTCTTTTGCCAAAGACAGCAGAAAATGAACTTTCTTTATTCATGATGTTTGATCACACAGTTCCAAGCTCTAACCCTCAGTGAAGTCCATGGAGGGCCTTCACCTCAGAATTCACAGAAACTCAGAAGAGGAAAAAAATGTTTCATTAAGTGAATGACAGAACTACTAACTAATAGATATATATGCTATTCTTTTAGTGAAGATATGTCCTTCACTTGTCTAGACTTCATTCACTGCTCTTAGGCAATTACATCCGTGTTACTAAATGCAATGTAATTGGAAACCATGGAACCAAAACTACATGGAAATACTCATTTGAAAAGATTACCATTCACTGAGGAGATGCATTAAGTTTTATTAACATTGTAATAAAAAGAATTTATACATCTAAAAATGTTTGCGAACTCATACTCCCATGAAAATATTTTAAAATTCAGCTAACAAGAATAGTGTTGCTAAGATTTAAAGATAGCCAATATTAGGATTTTTTCCCCTAATTTCTTAGGGTTACTAAGTTATTGGTGGGGAACAAAAATAATTTAGATCCATGAGCTTATGGGAGAGCTGGAATGAAATTAAGCAGAAAGATCAGAAAACAAGCCTATCAAAATGAAGTCTGGATACTGCGTGGGTTTAGGCATTCCTTTCACAAGCTCTAGTGAAATGTGATTCACATCCTTTAACATAAGCTAGCCAAACGTCTCTTATTTAATAGCCCTTTCAAGTCAATGTATTTTAACAAAAAGCAAACATCACCTTTCCCATCAATAACTTTCATTTTTGGAAATAGAAACCTAGGTATTTTCACAGCCATTTTTTACACAGACAGATAGAAATCAAAAGTATCCTGTTCTACAGTATCATCACAAATTAGTCATACCACTTGTGATTTAAAAGGAAATTAAACAAAATATTTTTAATAACAATATTTAAAGCAGATAGTTGGGTTTTTATTAAACTAGTGTAACAACTGGCAGAAGAGAAAAATACAGAAAACAATGTAAAGTAAAATGTCTAAACAATTAAAATCAACACAAAATGTTGGCGAAATCCAAAATGTGTCTCATATGGCTAGTGAAAACCCTTCATGTTAATATATGCCTTCTTCTAACTCTCCGGATAATTTACCAGCATTCAAAGTTATTAATTTGATTGTTCTCATTTAAATCTCATCAATAACACATTTTAGATCTTTCAACTTTAGAGTTACTTTTTTACATATTTAACATTGTAGTCTGACACATTCCAAATTGGAAGCTTCTCAAGTGTAAATACCAAAGTAAGTTAACATGATGGACTAATACTTTTTAGTTCACTAAGTAAAAAATTATAATTAACAAGGGAAAAATCATGACAACATTTTTGTTGGGTTTTTTTTGAGATAGAGTATTACTCTGTGCCCTGGGTTGAGTCTCATCATAGCTATAGCAATCTCAAACTCCTGGGCTCAAGAAATCCTCCTGCCTATGACAACATCTTTAAAAAATTGAAACGTTTCTGACATGGAATAAAATAGTGTTTTCTGCACAAAAGATCTGGATATTTTATCATTAAAATGCAAAAGTACAAGTTAATTATTCATGTGAAGACTTGTCCTATTTCCAAGGACTTACCTTCTTTTTATCCCTCATTGAACCTTTGCCTCGGACCATTATTTTACATCCTGTTTCTGCTTCAAGTTGTTTAGCTGTAAGTCCTCTAGGTCCAAGGATTCTCCCAACAAAATTAAACTGGAAAAAAAAAAATCAACATATATTATACACATGCTGGAATTTATAGCTCTTAAAATTATTATACTACTTACTCAAGTTAGGTATTTTTTTAACACTAAGTTAAAGTAAAATTTAGAACCCTTATGAAACTGTTGGGATATAACTATAGTAGCTCACTTTTTAGCACAAAATTTTCATATGTATTAATACAAACTATGAATTAGGAATAACAGTATCTGGTAAAAGAGGTACTACGCTGAATTGTCCATTAACATATAATCAAAAATATTTTCATTAAAATTTGGCAAAATATTAGATACCATTCAAGAAAGCAAATCCCTTCCCCAAAATTCCCAACTGTCTTTAGTAATGATGTTATTAAAGGAATTGTTAGTGATTATCCTTCTTACCAAAACCTTATTTACTTTCAAAAAAAGTTATACTTTCTCAAAGCAGCTGTCTAGAGAGAACTGTATAACTGATAAATATGGGTTGGCTGCTGGAACACTAGGGATCAAATATGGACTGCAACTTGTGCTAAATGTATAAGTCTTAGGAATACACATTTTTTACCGTATTCCCTGCACGATTTTATGTCCACATCTTAATTTTCCTTTCTTTTTCCATTTCTATATTTAACTTATACTACTGTTGTTACAAGAAGCTTAAACTCTTTTCATGAATAGGACTGTAATATAAATAAAAATCATAATTGTGTATGAGCCACCCCTCAACAGAAACTTGAGTATTCTTCAACAGAAACTTAAAGAGTATTCATATATACATTTTTTTTGCAGTTTTTGGCCGGGGCTGGGTTTGAACCCACCATTTCCATCTAGCATATAGGGACAGCACCCTGCTCCTTTGAGCCACAGCACCACCCCATATTATAAGGCCAATGGGAAGAACAGATTGAATACTGAAAAGTAAATTTTCATCATTTGCATGTTGTCTGAATAAAAAACAAACAAACCAAAAAATGAATTTTTACCATCAGTTCCACAAAAGCCCAGGGTGGTTTTCATTTGTTTATTCAATCGATCCTTTTGCATATAGCTTCCTACTTTTTCCTTGCATTTATTTAACTCTTAGTAAATCATAATTCCTACTCTTTCCTTGAATTTATTCTACTCTTAGTAAATCATTACATAAAAGTAATAAGCCAGAAAATCCATTGTTGTCAGGGCTTAAGAAGCTTGAGACGTTCTTCAATATTCTATATTCCAATGGCTCTTACTCCGTCTCATAAAGCTGCTCACTAGCACTGCCACATCTTAGAAAAATGATTCTTAAAGGTGGTAATGGTCCTGAAAAAAGCCTCACACTCCAAGGAAATTTACACTTAACTTCTTTCACCCCAAGCTGAAACCCACAGCCCTTGATCTATAAGCACTTGATCTAGATCCACAGGATTCCACATTGCGAAAACAGCCACATCACCTCTTTATGTATATCCTTAACTACTTTCTCCACATACAGCACTTTATCCACCTACCTCCTTACCCAACGTAAACCCCCATGGTCATCCATTTTAATAAGGCATCTACTTCCAACTGAGAGTCTTGTTAACTTCTCACAACTCCAATCTAAATAAACTCAGGTAATATACGAGTAGATAAGTGTTTAAACTCTGAAAGCATGCAGATTCCAGCTGGTATTCAAGTTTGAATACAAAATAGTAATTAGGAATTTGAAAGTTACATCAAATAAGCTTCAATTATGTAACAGGGATAATAATATCTGGCACTACCAAGTCTACTACAAATTCTCTTTAGAAAACCTTAGGGCCTTACTCTTAATAATTCAGCTTAGAATACCAAAGGAGATGTGTCCAACAGAAAATTGCCCTAAAGAACTCTACAGAGATGTAACTCAAGGAGTAGGGCGCCAGCCCCCCATATACCAGGGGTGGTGGGTTCAAGCCCAGCCCTGGCCAAAAAACTGTTAAAAAAAAAAAAAAAAAGAACTCTACAGAGACTTAACCCTCGAGACACTTGAGCCCTCAAGATACTTGAGTTCTGCTGACAGCAAGAAAGAAAAGGTAAAAATAACACACGAAGAACTGGCTATTCTTGTCTACAGAACACCAAGAGTTTGTTTCTCTAGAAAAACTGAAACAGCCCAAAGCTAAGACTTCCATTTCAAAGTCTGGCACGGCAGGTGACCATCTCAAACAGAGGCTGTCAATGGATGAGTTCTGTTCATGAACACAAGATGCAAAGTTTTGGTGCTTTGTGCTGAATCAACATTCACCAAAGACTTGAGCAAGAGCTTTAACAGGAAAGACACAGAAGATAAAGAAGCAAAACAAGGGAGGACAGACTCTTGAGAAAAATGACTGCGGTGAAAAAAGGAGGTCAAAGAAATCTTTGGTAGATAATTGCAACTATTTTCTAAAATGGTTATACACACATTTGTACCCCCAGTAAAAGAGTATATAGTTATATAAGAATTTGTTTTGAACCACTTTCTCTCCAACATACCTTAGTGTCAGTGTTCATCATCTGAGCCATTTCAATTGACACTCCTCAGACTTAACAAAATTGCATATTTTTCATGTTTATTGGCCGTTTGGACATACTTTTTTTGAAGTGCATTTCAAGTTGTCTGTTTTTCTACTGTGTTAATTTTTCATCTCGATTTCTACTTTGTGGTTACATGGGTAGCAGAATACCTTTTCCCATCCTGGGCCATGACTTCTCCCTCTTTAGTGGTGTCTTAAGATAAATAACTACAAGTTTTCAATTTCACTATAGTTCAAGTTATTTATCTTCTCTTCATGTTTAGTCTTAGGTGTCCAGTTCAAATTAAGCCTTTCCCCACCTCAAAGACCATCAAGATATCCTCTGGCGTTATTTTTTAGAAGTTTTACTGTTCTCTCTTTCACATTTATGTCTACAGTGTAACACAACTGATATCTATGTAACTGTTCTCCTCTCACATTAATACTCAAATGTTCCAATTAAGTTTATTGAAAAGACCATAGGTTTTCCAACTTCTCTGTGGTGTCACACTGTCATAAATATTTTTATATAAACAGTTGTCCCTTGGTTTTGATGGGGATTGCCCCCCACAGATACCTAAATCTGTGGATGTTCAAGTCCCTGATATGGTGTAGAATTTGCATATGACATATACATATCCTCCCATACATTTTATATTATCTTTGGATTATTTATAATGCCTAATACAACATGAATTCTATGTAAATCATTGTTTCTGCATTGTTTTTAGAGAATAATGACAAGAAAAAATTAGTCCCTACATGTTCATACAGATGCAACCATTGGGGTTTTTTCCCCCCAAATATTTTCTATCTGTAGTTGGTTGAATCCACAGATGTGAAACCTAAGAATGTGAAGAGCTGTTTCTGGGCTCTCTATTCTATTCCATTTATCTATTTATCCTTTCTTTAATAACACATTGTAAGGTTCTTCCACCTTGCACTTCAAAGACTATCTTAGCTATACCTGGCCCTTTGCAATTCTACATATTTTACAGTAAGTCGGTCAACTTCTTTTTTTTTTTTTTTTTTTTTTCAGAGACAGAGTCTCACTTTAGTGCCCTCGATGGAGTGCCGTAGCATCACAGCTCACAGCAACCTCCAACTCCTGGGCTCAAGCGAGTCTCCTGCCTCTGCCTCCCAAGTAGCTGGGACCACAGGCGCCCGCCACAATGCCCGGCTATTTTTTGGTTGCAGCCGTCATTGTTGTTTGGCGGGTCCGGGCTGGGGATTCGAACCCACCACCTTAGGTGTACGTGGCTGGTGCCTTAGCCGGTTGAGCTATAGGCGCCGAGCCCAATATTTCAATCTTTATTGGTCTTTCTATGCCTTCCTTTTCTTGATCAGTCTTCCAGTCTTTTCAAAGAATCTGCTTTAGCTTTTGCTTTGTTTTTATTTTGTTTTGTTTTTTAAACAGAGCTGCATTCTGCTGCCCAGGCTAGAATGCAGCAGCATCATGATAGCTCACTGCAATTGCAAACTCCTGGGCTCAAGCCATCCTCCTGCCTCAACCTCCTGAATAGCTGGAACTATAGGCATGTGCTAGCACACCCAGATAATTTTTCTGTTTTTACAAAGAAAAACAGCAATAATGACGATACTACCACCTTTCACTTCTGCGTGGGCTGGTCTCAACCTTCTCTGAGGTCAAGGGATCCTCCAGCCTTGTCCTCCAAGAGTGCTAGGATTAAAGCCATGCCCAGCCTACTTTTGCTTTTGTCAACTGGAGTCGACTAATATCAAAAATGGCCACAATTTTATTCCTCTTACTGTATCTGTCATTTTCAACGTCAATTTGCATCTTTCCCCACCTCTTAAATCCGGGTTAGCATTGTGACTACTTTGCCTGATACAATGCAGTGAAAAAAAATGAGATGCCTCAGAGTTTCAGGTGGTTCCAATTCTCTTAGGACCCTCTTACTCCCATACATACAAGCTTGGACTAACCTGCAGGGGAATGAAAGACATGGCACAGTCACCGTCGATTCCCACAGCCAAAAAATTCCCAACTATGAGCTGCCTGACTGACCACTGACCTACTACAGATCAAAACCAGAAGAACTGCTTTTCTGAAGCTAGCCACAGAAGGAGCTCAATAAATAGTTTAAGTTTTACATTTTTGAGGTGATTAATTATAATGAACCAATAGCTAGCTGATAGATGTATACTGAGTCTCCACCATTTAATTGATTTCTACTCTTAGTTTTATTACTTCCTTTCACTTCCTTTGGGTTAATCTGGAAAAATACTTTGAAATATTTTGAAATACTCTGAAATAAATACTTTATCTATAGCACCCTTTCTTCTTTTCCAAGGTACACAATAAGCTTTATGGATACATCCAAGCTGACATTAGCTGTATCCCACAAGTTTTGAAAGGTAGTATTTTCATTATTATTCAGGTTAAAATAATTTTGCATCTACTGACTATTTAAGTGTGTTTTCATATTTCAAACACTCCATAGGAATTCCCTAACCATCTATAGTTGTGATTTCTAGCTTCCTACACTGTAGT